CATGCATGTATTACTGTTTCCAGGTTCTTTTTGGACAATATGGGCTTCAGTTTAGACAGCCGCCTCAGTTGGAAGAAACATGATTTAACAATCATGTTTACATGATTGTTAAGCTTCAGGGAAGGGTCCATTATCACGCCCAGATTAGTGACTCTTTGTTTTTCTGACAGGGTTAGAGCGGAGAGGTCGATACAGTGGTTTGTGATCGTGTCGTTGGGAGGGAACAACATGACTTCAGACTTCTTTTCATTGAAACTCAAGAAATTTAAAGCCATCCAGTCCCTGAAGTCAGCCAGGCAGTTGAGCAGCGGTTGAATAGAGCATGTACCATTGTGTCTTAGGGGGAAGTAAATTTGACAGTCATCGGCATAGAAGTGGAAGGGCATGTTGTGTTTCCGGAAAATAGCACCAAGCGGCAGCAGGTATAAAGAGAATAGGAGGGGACCCAGGATGGACCCCTGCGGAACCCCCCATTTAAGCTCTGCCTCTGCGGAACTAAAATCCTTGATGGAGACACAAAAGGATCTGTCAGCGAGGTAAGATCTGAACCAATTGATGGCTGATCCTGTGACGCCCACCCACTGCTCCAACCTAGCAATGAGGATTTCATGGTCAATGGTGTCAAAGGCGGCTATGAGGTCCAACAGGACAAACAGCACAGAATCACCGGTATCTGTAAATCTGAAGATGTCGTTAAAGACCTTCAGCAGGGCAGTTTCAGTGCTGTGGAGAGGTTTAAAGCCATATTGGAAAAGCTCTAAGATGGCGTGATCCTCCAAGAAGCACTTCAACTGGGACTCGACTACTTTCTCTAGTACTTTAGAAACAAATGGGAGTTTGGAGACAGGCCGGTAGTTGGAAACGACTGATGGGTCATGGTTTGTTTTTTTCAGGAGAGGCTGGATGGCAGCATGTTTAAAGGATTTTGGCACCACGCCAGTGGATAAACTACTGTTTACTATTGTTGTACAACAGTGCTAAAAGAGCTAAGATATATGCTAGTCATTAAAAGTGTAAAACAATACACCGAACAACAGCAGCACGACCATGAGTCTTTGTGGGTGGATGAGTATGAATGAATGAATACAGCAGCAAGAAATAATCAGCAGCATGGATAATCAGCAAAAACAATTTTAGCTCTGCGATAATACATTGTAGCACAACCAGTTTTTAGCTACACTTGTTGTTGATCCTCTTCCTGTGTTCATTGTGTACCGTTTACATTATCTACACCAGGGTTACTCAACTGGCTGCCCGTGGGCCATTTACAGACCACGGGTGACTTCAATCCGGCTCACCAATGACTTCATTAAAAAAAAAAAAAAAAAAAGGAATATTTTATAAAAAAAAAAAATTATTCTGAGTTTGGGTTTTGGGTTCTGTTTACTGCATTTTTGAATCAATGCAATAAAATAAATATATTGAAATGGTAACAGATCATTGTAAAACTTGGTTCATTTACATAATTGTAGCATTTTTTTAGTTTTATGTTTTTCTTAGTTCATATCTTAGATCTTATTACTGGTTTTCTTTTACATTTCATTGTGGGATGTAACTGGGACCCTAAGTACACAGTCTCATTCCACAACATGTACCACATGTGGTGCGGATGACAATAAAAAATATCTAACTCTGACTCTAACTCTGACTCTGACTAATGATTTTAATCGCTGGATGTCTGGCCCCTGAGCTGCTGGCTTTCAGTAACTGTGACCCCCCTGAGCAGTTTAGTTGAATAGCCCTGATCTACTCCCTCAGTGGGAACTGTGGTAATACAGAAGCCAAGAGAGGACAAGAAGTTTTTTTCTTCTTGACATTATCATGGAAAAATAAATTACGTCTAATTTTCTCAAGACTGAGTATATTTTCTAAAGATTATGATATAAAATATTTATAGACCCAACTTCAGAACAAGTGGAAGGTAATGGATGAATATTCACAGATTTCAACATAGAAAAGTTTGTTTCCTTTGGATAACTAGAATTTAATTCAAATTCACATTTGAATAAATGTGCATCTGAAAAATGTCCTAATCAGAAATCGTACAAGTCATGCTGACAACAGATTCAAATTCAACTTGTTACATTATGAGACATCCATTGCTGATCATTAGTGTTCTGGATCTCCAAGTCAAGAAGGCCATACTGTATTATGAAAGTGGGTGTGACACAAGAACCAGTTATTTTTGCAGCACAGTCATCCTGTTATCTTGAGAAAACAAAGTCTGTTCTCTTTGGAAAATATATCGTTATCGTTGAGAAAACACGATTCTGTTTTCTTTAGATAATGGGATAAAACTAGCTTGGTTATCTTAAGATACCAGAATCGTCAACTTGTGATCTTGAGAATATCACAACAAAATTAAATGCAAGGCTGTTTTCAGCTTCTCCAGTGGTTCTCCCAGCACCAAAGATGATAAGGAATAACACATTTTCAGTCACTTCCTTCACTTTTGGTGACGTTCTTTTGCATATACTGGATGCGTGCATGCCTTTGTGTCAGTTCCATCCATCTCTTCCATTAGTTTTGTGTGCACTGTTATCACTGCTGTTCTCTATCACAACCAAAGACATAAAGACAATTAAAATACTTTGAGAAAATTACATCTCTTGGCTCAGTGCGTAGTGAGACTGTTTGGATTTCTGCTTCTGATTTTCTCAGTGAATGGTTGAACTGTCTTTGATAGAAGAGTCAAAACTACTTGGAGTTCTGAAAATTGTTCAGTGCAACAATTAAAAACAAATGTTTGCCTTTGGAAACAAATTTCTCATCACCACAAATGACTACCTCAGACAAATGGAAGCGAGACATGCATATTACAGCCCCAAATTAAAAACATTATTTTCCCCAAACCAATTTAAAGGCTCTTCTGTTTTGTTAGTGTCACAGAAGGAAACACCAGTGCTTTGTGAGTTATATATGAGAAAGACATTGTGTTTGTACAAGAAGGTGGCCGAGCACTCACCAAATAAACCATTCAGCTTAACCTTTTGTGCTGTGGGCTGTAATAGTCCAAGATTAGCATGAATGCACCCCTGAAAACTTGTTAAAATGTGAATGAGTAAAAATCCCACAGATCTGGCCTGAGGCTGTTCTGCTCTCTTCCCCCCTCTGTTCCATACATACATAACTTTAATCAATGTTATGTAGCTCCCTCATTACTGTTCTTCCGGCCCTGGGTATTTGAGAGCAGCGGTGAGTGATGTTGCGTGTGTTTGACTAATATGACTATAAAAGGTTGGGACCGCAGAGCTTTTACGCTAATCCGAGTGCAGAGCTGTTTTTATTAGCCATGCCTGTCTGTCTTTAACTCTGTGTGCGCATCTGTGTGTGGATGATGATACACATAAATAAAGGCAAAGGAAAGAGACCAGAATAAAACTCAACTCACATTACGCTCTGAGCCTTGACGGACGCTTGCATTTGGAGAAAAAAAATGCTGGTTGTACTTTGTAGCATAAAGTTTAATAGCTACACTTAAAGTGATGTACTATCAGTAAGTAAGAGCCACTTCATAGGCAGAAAAACCACTAAAGTGGTTTGAGTGAGTGTGTGTTCAGGAAAATGGCGTGTGTGGCCCTTTTTTCATAGTGTTAAACAAATGACCTCACTCCCATGTGGACACATGCAGACTCTTTTTGTGGCCAAGGATGGTAAGAGCTGGAGCTGTAAGTTTTTCTGCACACAAATTACTTCATCTAAAAACATAAATGTATATGAGTAGTATTTACAATGAAGTAACAAATCTAATTTTGCTCTTCATTTGATAAACATTTACTGAAAAGGATAGATGGTGCTTTTTAAAAGTATGGATCTGTGGCTTTGTTTTTAGTAGTCAGTGTCTTACCTGCAGTGGATGATAGTTCATGTCATCAAAATTGTCTCAGTTTCCAGATTAAGAAAAACAAAATGTTTGAGTGAGACTAACTCATCTAAATGGGGAGAAAATCAAAGCCGATGCCTTAAACAAACCCAATCCCAAATAAATAAATACAATTTTGAGAGAAATTCCAAAAATGTTTTGAATCTTTTTCACACTTTGGACTTTTGGTTATGTTTAAAGAAGTTTAATATCTATTTATTATTTATCAATCTTTATTTATTCCGGCAAATCTGTTGAGATCAGAGGTCCCTTTTGCAATAGAGGCCTGGGTCTCGATTAGTTATCATTAACTAATGATAATATATATATATATATATATATATATATATATATATATATATATATGTGTGTGTGTGTATCTCTATATCTATCTGTCTGTCTGTCTGTCTGTCTGTCTGTCTTTTTTCAAGACATTGAAAGTGCAAATTCAGAAATTATGAAAAAAATAGTTTCTTAAATGACTGCATGTGCTTCACTCTGCAGTGGCACATGCTCCTACTTTAACCAGCATTTTTGTTCTGCGATTAGCAGAAGCTTTTAGCAGGAGATTAATTACTTTCCCTCTACCTTCTAGTAAATTAACAATTTGTTATGTCTTTTTTTTTTTTGCTACAGAAGCAGACAAAAAGCTGACCCTGTTGCAATACAGATCCTGCACTGTCAACTTATAGTCCCCATCTACTACATAATTAAAAACTTATTTGTATGACTCATTTGTGAATGTCTATTATTGTAGTTTTTATCCATTGTTGTCATCACTCTGTTAAAATGCAGGTCTCTCTTGTAAATGAGTCCTCGTGGCTCAATGGGATTAACTGTTTAAATAAAGATTGAATTAATTAATACACAGACACCACATTTATTACAAATCTAATCTTCTCTCAGAGGTTTTTAATGTTTAATAGTAAAAACAAAGTTTGGGGATATATTTCGTTAAATGTGCTACCAATAATATTTTGAAGAAGACTTTTCCAAATTCTTGTGCAACAGACAGGATCCAGTTAATTTATACTTCCCCACATCACTTACAACCCACTGTGCTGCTCGTTATTCCTGGCAGTAAATGCTGCCGGTCATGTAGGTAATTAAAGATGTTTGTGTTTTTGTGTCTCTTCAGCTGACTGATGGTGGGAAAGCAGCTAAATGTGGGATCGCTGTTGGAGACACGGTTCTCTCCATCGATGGTATTTCAACAGAGGGCATGAACCACCTGGAAGCCCAGAACAAAATCAAGAACTGTGCCGGCAACCTCAGCCTTACACTGCAGAAGTAAGAAACACACTCACACTCCGAAGGTTCTTCTCATTTTGGAAAGCAAGGAGCATCATTTTACAACAAACGTGTGAACGTGAGCAGGTTGGGGTGGTCACCATGACAACAGGATTCATACACTTCTCAAACATCTTCCATCATGGCAGATGTTGACTGTTTGCTGCAGGAGCTAAATGTTAATGTTCTGACACACACTGACAACATTAGTTCTGCCTGAGTTTTTGTTCCCCAGCGGAAAGAAGAACAACTAAATTGATAACAAGAGCATCAGGCATGTGGACCCACACCTCCTCCCTGAGGCATACACTTCAGTGTTTAGTTGAATACTGTACAGTACAGCTGATTTATGTCAAGAGTTGCTGTCAAAGCGCCTGTATGTGTGGCTTCCAGCTGGTCCTCCTGCTGTTTGACTTGTCTGGATCTTTGGCAACAACAGTAGATCTGTGTTTTTTTACTTAAAGGCTGTGGGATCATCAAGGCTTCCCTTGTCCCTTTGGATTCAAGGTTTATGAGAGAATAAGTTGAAAAACTGGAAGTAGCTCATTGAGGGGTATAATTTATTTATTTACCTGGAGTAAACTAAACAAGTTCCCCTCATTTTAGCCCAAATGAGCCCAGTTTTTAAACTCTATATAAATGGTGTCAAACTGATTTTTTTTAGCCTTGGGAAAAAGGCAGAGCATCTACTCATAGTAAATATCACATGACTCTTTGTAACTCCGAGTCAGTGTGTGGATTTACTGTTGGTCAAAGACATTTATCATCTAGTTTTTTCTTCATGATGAAGGAAACAAGAGCTGGATATATTGTCTAGTTAAAGGACACCAATGGAAAAAACAAGTTGTCAAAGTGGAGGCTCTTTTTCCAAATGAATGACTAAGTTTTAAAATGTCGAAAAACTGGATAGTTTTTTTTTAAACATTAGTAAACAAAAAGATATGTAGCTTTGGAAACTCCAAGCATACAGCATCTGATAATAGGCCTCCTTTCTGAACTTTATACACCAATAAATCATCAAAAATATTCAAGGCAAAACTGAAAATTCTGACCTGCTGCTGTTTGGCAGATTTCATCACATCTAATTATGGTTGAGTAACGATCTCCTAAAGGCTTAAAGACCCAAGGGAAAAAGGTTACTTTATAACAAGACAATGGTTTTCCTTCAATTCAATTCAGTTTATTTGTACAACGCCAAGTCATTACAGAAGTAATCTCAGAGCACTGAATAGAAACATTTATATATAAAAATAATAATTTAACACTACTTATCTGAGGAGCAGACTGTTTTGAATTTAACTCCATCACAGAACGCTCATCTTGAACAAGCATGAAGGCGACAGTGGAAAGGAAAAACTCCCTCACGAGGAAGAAACTTTTAGCAGAACCAGGCTCAGGACAAGCGACCATCTGCTTCGACTGGCTGGGTTTGAGAGGAACAGATACACAATGGCAGGTCAAGAATCACATGTTAAGATAGAAATAGTATCAAATGAAAACTATTACATTTTTAACAATTAATTTAAGGAAATGAGGTCAATGTGTCCTCTAGTAATCTAAGTTTAAGGCAGCGTAACAAGCCAACACTAACTATAGGATTAATCAAAAATGAAAGTTTTTAAGCCCAGTCTTAAACTGGACAATGTGTCAGCCTCACAGACAGAAACTGGAAGTTGGTTCCACAAGAGAGGAGCCTGACAACTGAAATATCTTCCTCCCATTCTGCTTTTGGAAACTCTAGGAACTGCGAGTAAGCCTGCAGTCTGATTGCTCAGTTAGGAAAATATGGAACAATAAGATCCCGAATATACAAAGTAAGATGGAGAAAGGTTGTTGAGAACTTTGTAGGTTAGAAGTAAGATTTTGAATTCAATTCTGGATTTGACAGGGAGCCAACAGAGAGAAGCTAAAACTGGGTAGACATGATCTTCAATGATTCTTCAATAAAACACTTTTACAGCATTTTTAGGTGAAATGATACAACGGTACAAATGATTTGATGACATCAGGACATTTCTGAACTTAGATCTTGTCATCTAACATGGACAATTTTGAAGGTGATGAAGGAAGAAAAAATAAAAAGACCAAAAACTAATAATTTGAATTTATATGCCAACAGCCTTTCGATAAACTGAACAACACAGCACAGATTCACTAATCTGGATCACAGAGTCTTATGCATTACTTTGGCTTTTAGTCATGCATAGTAAAAACTGTGATTTTACATAAGAAGGATACATTTTTGAAGGACTTTAAAAGTCAAAACCTGATGTTCATTTACATACCAACGCTCTGAGCTTGCTTGTTTTCCATATTTAGTTATACAAAATAGCTAAGTTTATAGTACAGTTATGGAAAGAAAATGTGGGAACATGGATTGTTTTGTTTTCTGCCTGGCATTCACTGAAACTTTGATAGACTTTCTGGATATTCAGTGTGTTATGCTGAGGTCAACATCTGGTCTTTAAAGGTTTTACACAGTAAAACAAACCGAGCTGGTTCCTCATCTCGTTTAGTTTTATACGTATCACTCTGTTCTTCCTTTTTCTTTGCACCTGTATGTTTTAGTGGAGAATGCTACGGGATCATTCAGCTAAAGGAATGATAACAGGGAACAGACTGAAAAAAGAAATGAGAAAAGAAAGGAAAAGCTGACAAGTTGTGTTGCATCTACAGGAAATTTAAGTTTTGCCAGTTTGCCTTGACTATTCAGGGATAGTGTAAATATATATATATATATATATATATATATATTATCCTGGCATGAACGTAATTTTTCCAATTCAAAAGCTGGAAAAAACCCGAGAAATATTAACTCGAAATGCGTGTTTGTAAGTATCATAACTACCAATCATCAAACACCAAACTTTATTCAGCTCTTTGTTAAACCCTCTAATTTAACCAAAACCCTTGTATAATATCATATATATAATAAATTTAACCAAAACCCCCATATAATATCATATATACTGTATAATAGGGTGTATAGGGTATAATAGGTGTCAAAAGACTAAGAGTGGACATTTGTAGTTTCCCCACTCATTCCATCTCCAATCCTTCTCCTTAATTGATAATGCAGGAACGTTAATATTGCCGTAAGAAGTGTTTAGAAATCATTTATCACTTTAATGAACACTGGAAATAAAGATATAATTTAAAACTTTCCTTTCCCCTTTACTCACTTTTGTGTCAGAATGATCAAGATTTGTTTAAAGCTGATTCCTCTGTGAAACCACTTTCACAGTTTCTTTATTTTATTTGAACAATCATTATTAGTATTTATTTTATTAGTACCAAAATATGAAAATGTTTGGTCTCATATTAAAGGCAGCTCAGGCAAAAATAATCCATAAATGAAACATATCTCACGCAAAGCACAGAGAAAGAGTTGCTCTCAGTTCAAGTTTCTGATGCATTTGTCTGCAGGTAGAGCTTTTATTATTTTATTTTGTTGATTTGATGTTCCTCGGTGGATACTTGATGACAGAGGCTAAGTGAGCCATTTACAGTTTTAAATGATAAAAACCAAAATGTTTAGAAATCAGTTTAACGTGCAGTGTCCCCTCTGTTGAGCATCTATGTTCTTGTTTCGACCACACTCAGGTCTGTTGTGAGAAGGGAGTTTTTCTCATAACTGATGTTGCCTGTTTGTAAATGCAGAGATGTGAATGTCATTTCAGCTGTAGATCAAAATTACTGTAAAACAAAATTAACTTTAATTATGACCGTTAATGGTTGAAAGAGCAATGGTCCAGACTGGTGCAACTTCATAAGTCACAGTTTTGGCCATAACTTCAGATTGATCAAATAATGGTGAGTTGTTGTAGAAGGACCCAAATGCACATATGCCAGAAGTAGTTTAATAAATACAACTTCTTAATAACCAAATTGCAACAAATCAAAGAGGTGGCATAGTCAGGTATGAAGAACCCTCCCCCCCCCCCCCCCCCCACCCCCAAGTGAGACAAACCAAAGACAATATCTACAGAGGAGTGATTAGTGAGTGTCAACAGATTGATTTAGATGAAAGGCAGGTGGATGAAAGAATTGCATTAACAAAATTTAAAAAAATTACTCAACTAAAAAATTTTTAATATATAAACAAACAAACAAACAAAAAAACAGAACAGTAAAATAAAAAAAAACTTCTGAACAGTCAATAAACATCAAACTGTGACATCTCATTATTAATCAAATGCATTAATCAAAAATAATTTTGAACACAAAAGGAAACAACTAAGACTAAGGAAATATATATTTAGTAGTAAAACTTTACAAAAAGACTCCCCTTATAGAGGACTAATAAACAGTTTATAGATACTAAATTACTACCTTGTAAGCACAATAAGCATTTACTTATTGTGATTATTATTACTACTATTATTATTATTATTATACTTATTGAAACAATATGTACTTATTTACACAATAAGCACATGGGATTTATCTGTCTAAATAAAGGCTGAATGAATGAATTTGTAAACCTATTTTTTTACCATATAATATTGTACTTTATCACTGCATTATAAGTATCTACAACTAATATTAGGTTTACAAATACTTATTGTGCTTATAAGGTAAGAACTTAGTCTGAAATGTTTAATATAACAACTCTAGATGAAACATATAGGTGAACAGATTTGGCTCACTATTTGGTAAGAAACTGCTCAGTTTTGTCTTTCTGTCACCCTTAATTAATGCATAATAAGCAGTTATTAATGATTTATAAAGTGTTTATAGAGGAATTAATAACATCTATAAACTATTTATTAGCCATCTATAAGGGTAGCCTTATTGTAAAGTGGTACCTTTTTCGTTTTACCAAATATTTCAACCTTGGCTTGAGTTTATGAATGTGCTCTGTGCTGTTTTGACAACAGACTGAAAGTTTTTGTTTTAGTTTAAGATTTTTGACGTTTCTTTCAAACCACGACTTTTTTGCTGCAGCCTTCCTGCTCTGACAGACAGGGTGAAGTGCTGAAAAACAACAAAGAATGAAA